TATTTAGTAGACAACTTGCATCGGAAACCCTCGGTATTCCCACTGAAGGCACCGTGCCACAAACGGACATCAAGTTGCCATTCATGTTTGTCGCCGATGATGCATTCCCATTAAAGGATAATATCATGAAGCCTTTCTCTCATCGGCAACTTACACATGACAAAGAGATTTTTAATAATCGCCTGTCACGAGCAAGAAATGTTGTTGAAGGATCTTTGGGCAGAATAGCTATGATTTGGAGACTTGCAAACGCCAGTGGATGTTCAACCAAACACTGCGACCAATATTGTCATGGCAATAACTGTGCTTCACAAATTTGTTCTAATACAAGAACCCTTTCGTGTATCGCCGTGTGATTCAATGGGTGAGCAGATTCAAACCCCAAATACTCTTACAGGCTTTCAAGGATCCAATATCAATGGAAACGTTCGATCTACAAAAAATGCCTTGAAAGTGCGAGAAACATTGATGAACTATTTCACATCCCCTGCTGGAACTCTTCCATGGCAAAATGATCAATGTGTTACCAGATAAATCTCATGGTGAAATATACAGAATAACCTTCTTTTGTTGTTGTTGTTATTATTATTATTATTATTATTATTATTATTATTATTATTATTATTATTATTATTATTATTATTATTATTATTATTATTATTATTATTATTATTATTATTATTATTAAGAATAATATGTCCGCTGATTATTATTATTATTATTGTTTTGTGTCAAACAACAATGTTGAACATCGTTAGCTCAAGTGGTAGAGCGTTCGCTTGCAATGTGGGAAGTCGTGGGTTCGAATCCCAGCTGGGTCAATCCAAAGCACTCTGGGCTGGTACTTATTTCCCTTGTCGCAAGACAATTTATACAGTATAGTCCATTATTATTATTATTATTATCATTATTATTATTATTATTATTATTATTATCATCATCATCATCATCATCATCATCATCATCATCATCATCATTATTATTATTATTATTATTATTATTATTATTATTATTATTATTATTATTATTATTATTGTTGTTATTATTATTATTATTATTATTATTATTATTATCACTATTATTATCATTAATTATTATTAGAGAGAGAGGAGAGAGAGAAAGGGGGAGAGAGGGGGGAGAGAGAGGGGAACTTTAACCTCGATAATTGAATTAGATAAGATTTTAATAAATATTATTACTCACCATCAATTCCGACTTCCTCGCCGACTTCAATCCATTGTTGGTTTATTACAACTCTATTTGAATAATTCTCATTACTTTTGTCAAATAGGACTTCTCTTTTTCTCACTGCTTCAATCAATGCTTCTGCCTGTATCTTGCTTGTCTGGTCCGTGCTGGTTGAATTTTAGTGTCGCACTAAAATAATAATAATAATATATAATAATATATAGCATTTGTATAGCGCATATCCCCGCTCAACAGCAGGCTCTATGCGCTTTACACTATATTATTACCCCAGCAGACCATAGAACACTCCGAAACATTCTCAGCTTCCCGGGAAGCATACAGTGCGAGCAGCCGATTAAGCGCTCAAACACTAACAAACTGACAAGATCTTTCGCTGTCTATAGCCGGGTACCCATTCTCACCTGGGTTAAGTGAGGAAAATTCGTGTAAAGTGCCTTTCCCAAGGACACAACGTCGGGCCCTTGACGGGATTCGAACCCACGACCTTACGGTTGCGAGTCCGAGAGCCTAACCACTAGGCTACCGACGCCACAAATGAAATTACCAGCAAAACGACGGGCGAACGCTGGGTTCATGCAGTGTTCACGTTGGTCGGACAAAATGGCGCCACTCCGTTAGGCGTAGTGCTATCTATATTACCTAAAATTTTGACCCGTCGTTTTGCTGTTGCTGTGCTGTTGTTGGTCTGATGCTGGACGCACTGTTTTGGAGCTCTTAGCCGGCGTGTCGTGGCGACTTTGGAATTCTCTTACTCACAATCATACACACTGCTACTACTACTTCTACTTCTACCACGAACTGAGTGTGTGTTTGCGCGTAGTGTGCGCTTGCACTTTGGTTTATTTGTTTACACTACACGCGGGTACGTCGGTACACATGTGTGTTCGCCTGCGAAGTGTGGAGTGTGGAAAAGTGTCAGTTGTGTTTTGAGTGAGTTTGTGTGCGTGCGTGCGTGTGTGTGTGTGTGTGTGTGTGTGTGTGTGTGTGTGTGTGTGTGTGTGTGCGTGCGTGCGTGTGTGTGCGTGCGTGTGTGTGTGTGTGTGTGTGTGTGTATGCGAGTGTTGGGCGGCGTGGGGAGGTGGAAGGGGATCTTATAGGCCTATGACTATGATAGAGGTACAAACCGCGTGATGAAAATACATGAAATGGGGTGCAAAAAGACACGAGGGAGGGGGTATGGGGAGGAGGGGGAAAGAGAAGGTTCGAGGGAAAGGAGGGGGGGAGCGAGGGTGGAGGTGGGAGTGGTGAGTGAGCTTGATAACATAGGCTAGGCATTGGCATTATTCTTTTCTGTGACAGTGCCTTTGAGCGCGTACGTAAATGTATGCAGTGTGGCAGTGTGTAATGTGTAAAAGGCCCTACATTCTACTTTACACGCGCAGGTTCGTGGGAT